AATAGTAGAAATGCCCCTAAATTAGATAACTAGGTCCAAACATATTTTAAACTATTTTCCATTTTGAATAATGAGTGCTGTGCTGATTATGCATTGGATAACCATACTTGTTGCAAGATGTACAAGATGTTATCAGGTGGTCATACAATTTCAGTCATGTTTTAACTTCATAATTTTAAGTTTTGTTGCAAACAGCTTGTAGCACTTAACATTGCAGGTTTTCCATTTTAAAATATACATTTGTCTTAACTGTTTTAATTCTGACTTGACTTCTTTGTGGCATTTCAGTGATATTTAAAACTTGTCACCTACTTCCTCTCACTATTTTCAAGACATATTTTCACAGTTGCAATACCACATAATTGGACTGGAAGATTTGAGAAGGTTTATATACAGTGTTTCAGTTCAGCTTCATCTCTAGCAGACAATGGTGACAAGGAATATCTGACAAAATACGTTCCCAAAATCTGTTTTGGATTGCATTTATTTTTATTACATTCAGCACTAGCCCAGTGAATACACACAATACAATGCACCATAAATTACATCTTTAGTGCTGTCATTTTTCATGAGTCATTAGCAATCTAGCTATGATTTCCTCCCACTTTCAGAAGCCTGCTATTGCTTCCCAGCTGGAACAAATAAACAAAAAAAAAGCTGCAGGACAAAGCATATTTTTCTTTCCCCTACAAAAAAGCAAACAGGAAATTATATAAAACCAGAGAGGATTTTCCACGCACACCAGACACTGACCTATCAAGGCAGGGTAGCAGTGGTGTGTACCTGATTCTTTAAGGGCTTGGACAGACTATGTTTATATTGGTTTAAACAAGAGGTAAACAGATAGTCTAAATCCCAGGACTAATAAACTTGAATCTACTGTAGAATTACTCTAGGAAAAATCAGGGTAAATTTATTCTGGTGTAAGTTATACTATGGAGGTATCTTCCGGCCACTTCCACCTCAAGATAGTCGGATGAATCCTGCTTTATTCTATATTGTTCTTTGCATATTTCAGTGACTATCGGATACTTACCCAGGTGATCAAAAAAAATTGCCAATTATTCAGTTAAATTTTACCTAGTTATTCACACATTGGCTTCCAGCATATTTTTTGTTTATTGCATAAGCTAGAAAACTAAAGGAAAAATGCCAAAGACTGATCAGCACATGGAAAGAGATTTTTAGTTACAACAGACAATGCTGCCTGTTGTTAACTGCTATTTCAGTGATATTGGTTTTTTAATTCAACAGCATAGCTAAGAGAAAGACACCTGATTTCTTTTGTAGAAAAGTACAAATGTGTGACATTCTTGGTTCAGAAATTATCCCAGACAGAGATAGCAGTAAGCGGGAATTTTCTCAGTTACAGATTATCAATAACAGCAGCCAGATGGGTTGAAATGTTCAGCAAGTATGAAAAAAATGTGAACCCTGCCAAAAAATGTCAGAGAACAAGACCACAGACATTGAGACAGCTTTGTTGCAGTGGTTTGCAAATGTCAAAGCTAGAGACATTCTCATATCTGTACTGGTTTAAGACGACAAAATCAAAATATTTAGCTTAGTATAAGAAAAACTATTCTGCAGTGATGCAGGAATG